CCCAGTGGTGAATAAATACCACCAAAAGAAAGCTCTATCAGTCCCTAAAAAATGGTATAAAATTCATTTCAGTACAGCGTTGCATGACGGAATACATGTCAGTCAAAGTACAGCAGCGCTGAATACTGAAAAATGGCCTGGATGGGAAGGGGGTATAACACCGCGGATGTCAACTGGTTAAAAGAGGTGGGGGGTAAGCATTATGTTTAATAAACAGATCACAACAACCATCATTTCTACGGTTTTTGTTGCTTTTATTACAAGCATATAATATTTATTGGCAAAACACAGAATACAAGCTTCACGGTTATAAATCAAACATTAAGCAATATAACCTCACCCAAAGTCATCATGGGAAAAAAAATTAAACTGATGCAATGTTTAGACAGCAACACAAATGCAAAAATGTAAACTTTGAAGAAGAAGAAAAAAATAATTAACTGTCCATGATTGTATGTTTGTTTATTTAAGTACATGAATTTCTTCAGGCTTTAAAAATACTAAATACAGCAATTATCTTTTAATACATACGTTTATGTATACTGGAACAAAAAAAACAAACACTGGAAATTTGAGTGTCATTTATAAATCGATGAATAGTAAAAGTTAGACAAAACAAATTATCAATTATGAGCAGGGGGAAAAAAACATGAAAATATGATGTACCATTTACATATGCAACCACTGAATATTTAGGATGTTATGTGCCTTTAAAGGTTGACTGTTAGCAAAAGCTGTATATTTAAAACTGTACCTGAAAACTTTATTTTTAACAGTCCAAGTCTGTAACATTGTACAGCTTTGTAAAAAGGCAGAGTAAAAATAGGCAAATTGTTTTAGCACAGTGAACAATCTACTTTTTATACCATAGAAAAGTTAAAAAGGCTGTTTTTATATGAACTCTGTTGAATTATTTTAGTAAGGATGCAATATGGCAATGGACATCAGAGAAAAAATTAATATATAAAGCTATCTCTATGAGAACAAAAATGACATCTTTGAAAACAAGAACATGGGATATCAAGTTCGAATAGCACCATTTATGCATTATTCAGAATATCAAATTGACCTAAATATCAAATGTTCATGAACCTGACAAGTGTAATGCAAAACTGTGATCGTATAGCTTACATTTGATGCATAGAAGTAAAAACAGATTTAATTTTACAACACTGAGTAAACACAAACTGGGGGAAAAAAAAAGCTGGTTTGTAAAAGAAAATCCAGTCCATATTCTGTAAGTGAGTTTTCAGAGCACTGAAGATGTACATTTACTTAAACAAAAACATATTGTGAAATCTATTGCACAACTGCGTTCCTGATGCTTTCCTTTCACTTAAATGAGAAGTCCACCAAAAATGTTTCATTTAGCTTTGCATGAAAGATGATCACCTGCTCTGTAGAGTTTATCTTACCTGCAGGCCACAGTCAAAATACTGTTACATTCCTCCATTTATCTTAGAAACGTACTGCTGTGCCTATTAGTGTTTAGGAAGATTCCCCACCTATGCAATGATTCCTGACACCTAAAGGGACACTAAACTCAGGAGTTAAATCTTAAAAAAGCATTCAAGTACCTTCACTATTACAAAAATGTAACTTATTTGTGTATCAGTCAGCTGTAGATTCTCAAATCATCTCTGACTTGGTGCCGACACTGTCCTTCCTTCTGGAGGGGGGCTACTTTTGTTCCCCGTGGTTCCTGTGTGTGTTATAAAGTAGTCACTGCTCCAAGCTCACTCCTCTGATAGACTACAATCTCATGTTTAGTTGACTAATTTGTTTTGAAGTTCTGGTCCATCACGGAAGTGAACTTGGAACGGTGGCTACTTTACAACATACATGGAGAACAACATACATGGAGAACAAAAGTAGCCACCCTCCGGAAGGACAGTGTCAGCACGAGTTTAGAGATGATTTGAGGATCTATAGCAGAGTTATACACAAATAGGGTACATTGTATTAATCAGGTACTTGAATACATTTTCAAAATGTAACTCCTGAGTTTAGCGTTGCTTTAAGTGAACCTACAGAAACATTTACATGTCTAAACTGGCAGCAGATGTGAAATGTAGTACCTAGAAATATATCTGTAAAAAAATAAGTCAAGGCAACTACACTTGCTATATTTTTCTTGAAATTCAAGAAAAATACAGCAAGTCCAGTTGCCTTGACTTAATTTTTACAGATACACCATGACCTGAATGAATGAGAACCTTCACAGACATACCTAGAAATATGTTCTCTCTGTGTTCCAGAGAGTGCCATAAGCACCAAAACCCAAGGGGTTCCATAAGCAAATGTCAGCCTGCATGTCAAAAATTTTAACTCTGATCCACCCACTACCATCTCCAATGCAATAGCCAACGTAAGTGCCCCACAGGCTCAAGATTTGCTTACTGAATTCTAAAAAGCTTCCAGGTATCTACATTTCACTTCTGGTGTCAGCTGGTGGAACTTTAAAATGCACAGGTACAGTTTTTACATGAATAGGTAGCAAAAACGAGGAACATTAGTGATTTTAAAGGAAATTTGTCACAAGGTAGTAAATGTGGCAAATCGGTCAACAGTAAGTTAATTTAAGCATGTTTGGGACAAACCGGTTTATACTACTCAGATTTTTAAAAAAACCACAAGCGGCAGACTTGATGGACCACCTTTTCTGCCGTCACTCTTCTATGTTTCTTTAAATCAAGTACTGCCATTGCCGGGCACCTGAAAATAGCTGCCTTGTTGTTATGCTGGCCCACTGACATACATTTTTTGCGTATTTGACTAGAGACAAGGTCTTAATGCCAACTTTCCTGAACTGTATGCTCATGTACATACTTGCTCCAAGTCAGGGAGTACTGAAGAAAGTGAGTCAATATCAGTGGGTCAATGTTAGCCAAGCAGCTAATATTTTCGGATGCAGAATTTTAGCAATGGCAATTTCAGGTTACTCTTGTGACAGATTTCTTCAGAGCTCTGTGCACACAATCATAATTTCCAACACCAATGCCGTGATCATCCTCCATCCTAACAAAATGAACGGTTTTGGGTCGCACTCTCCTTTAAGTGAAAAATAATGAAGCTTGTTAAACACTTTATACAAATTTATATGCCCGTAAATAAAGCTGGTCACTTAAACATTTTCAATGGTAAAATAATATAGAAAGCTTAAAATAGAATAAATAATTTTATAAAGTTATTTTCTTTTAAACCCCACTGATCCATGTTAAATTTATCATATATTCTGTCAAAGTTTTTTCTATTTCAATAAGAACTATATTAAACAAAACCTGGCTATCTCTGGTCTCGCTGTAGCAGGATACAACAAAGACATATAATTATTATTTTTGCAGACATTACACAGTGAAATAAGTTCTTCCAACCCTGTTCACTGAAAACACAAAAAGTCTCCACCTTCAAAATATGCTCCAGACACAATAGGCCGAATGTGGCTCATGAGAACAGCACAGATGTGTCACATCAAATCTAAAAAGGAAAAAAAAAAAGAAAAAAGTGCTTCCTTGCCCATTCTCAAATGTAACATTTAATTTAAAGTTCCAGGCGCAACACTACATTGTACCTCACAGAGGCTTTCTTTACTCCTTTATACCTCCTTCATGTATTCTATCTGTAGAATGTTAACTTGAGCAGTGCAACAAGTCCATTGGTCGTGCTCCCAATGTATTACAAGGGAACAAACTGTGGATTGCATGGAAACTGTCATGGTATTCATTTAATAATAAAAACAACTGTTTCTTTTATGCCAAGGTTATTAACACACTGTAAAAAGACAGAGTTGTTCAGTGTATAGATCACTCCTATTTGTTAACACAATTCTCTTATGTAGTAACATGGATAAATAGGGATAGACACCGCAAGCTAGTTTGAAGCTGAAACACAATAGAGCGTGTTTACGGTCAGCAACAAACAGAATAGTGTAGCACCATATCATATTCAAGTGATCGATGAGATAGTTGATCAAGGATCGTATTTTAGTTCATCTTGAGCACATTCTTTCCTTGCATGGTCTCTGGTAACCTATTTTTTTTTTTTCTGCAGTAGAGACCTGGAGATTTTAGTGTGCACAGTTAATGCATTTTGGATTTTCACTATTAAGAAGAAAGTGACCAATTTAAGGCATGTGCACACGTCTGCTTTCCCTATATGCGCTTGAACATTGGCCACACGTGAACTGGTATTCCGTCCACTTAAAATGTGATGACCTTTACTCTTAAAGATCAACCAAAAACAAAAATCTTTCAGAAGGCTGGAAATTTTTCTTTTGGCCAACAGCCCAAAGCTGCTAGAAATGTTCCTGAAAGCAAATTGCCTTAATGACCATTTATTTGCAAGAGTATATTGCGGTAACACAGTTATAAAACCTGAAAACTGCATCATGAGGGGTGCTTTGCAGTCATTAGGGGAATGGTCAAATACAGGATCTTTCATTGACGTGGAATAAAGATCAGTGTCAGCCACAAAAAAAAAAAAAAAAGTGAGAAAGCCACTGGTGGAATACACCAGTGTCCATCTTTGTGCCAGAGGTTCTCAATCATTTATACTGTACCTTGGGCCCTCAAAGACCAATGTGACCATTTTCCAGAACCCAGGTCAATCCTATATTGCTCTGGGATAGCAGGAAGAGTATCTACTTCCTAAAATATGTTCCATCTACAACCAGAGAAAACCTTAATGCAGATGTGCACAAAACCCAATCACTGAACTACACCTATTTGCCCTGGCACGATGACCAAAGACCAAGTTGTAAAAGATGAGCTTAGCACCGAGAACAATTAAGATGACAAACCTACAACAGTGGCCATACAACAAAAAGAATGTTGTCTGGAATAAATATTTCTGCAACCAAACAGATTAGCAGTAACCATGTCTGCACCTTAATGGCCTAAGTGCAAGAAACCAAAATTATAAATAAATAGGTTGTGTTGCCATTGCAGCAAAAGGACAAAAGAGCACCGTGGCACATAACCGCAGGAAATTGTAACCCCTGGGCACTGCATATTAGGCATCTCTGATCATTTACCAAACAAAATCTCATCTCTAGAAGTTCTCCCCATCAATGAACTCAGGGAATAGCACAATCACAATCCTGTCTATCCTTTCTTTTAACGTGTTGTTATTTTGGCTCAGAGTACGGTCCTGGGCTATAAGCCTAAAAACAGACTGTTTATTTTTAACCTACAAAATAAACGTGAAAGTGGACTTTAATTGTAAATGATTTATAAAACCGTTTCACAATTAAACAGCAACCTAAGGTAATTTGGTGTCAATCTTTTTTTTCTTATCTATTAGATATATAGATATATATTTATTTATATATATGAAGATCAACACATCTCAAAAAACCAACTGGGATGTAGTTTGCAGCAAATACATGAATATCCATGAAAAGTGTTTGAGATTTGTAAAAGTCATGCTGGTACTGTCTTGAGTTGTGAAAAATTATCTCTTGTAGAAAAAGTAGAAATATCCTCCTGTCCAGGACTCTGATAACTGTGTTTGTGTAACTGAAGAGGTTCTCCTGTGAGCGCTACAATCTTCTGGCTTGAGTCCGCTGGTTCAGGTCACATGTCGTGAGCAATGTGGTGCACTATGGAGGTGCCCGTGATAGTCTCTGCAAAAACTTCGTCCACAGAGGACACTCAATTTCCGTTACAGCAAGTCCATTTTCGGTCTGTAATGCAGGAGGAGTGGTGCTTTCTGGAATTAAAGTATAATGTTAAATGTAGATTGATGACCAGTCAAGTCATTGTGTTGCTCACTCAAGCTTAGGTTGCTGACTGTGGAGCAGCAAAAGGGAATACTATCGCACACGGCTCAAAATGTCAGGTCCTGAGCTACTAGCCAGGCCTTAAAAGTTACTCGCCACCAGTTGCTCTGCCTGACCCCACTCCATCCTATCCTTATGCACAGATGTACCGGGTGTACCTGGTAACAAACTAATCATTTTCTTGCTGGACCAATAACGGGCATAACACAAACACACACAGCATAACAAACAGGGCATTACACATAAGCACTTGCTCATATTACTCAATACATTCGTGTGTCACCATACACATTCAAAACTGTATCATGTGGCACACGGATCATGTGGCAGAGTAGGGGTTAATCACTGCTCTAACATTTGAAGAGTTTATATACAGTTACAGTAGAAAGCTCTGGTTTCAGAGCCCCAGCCGGGTTTCCCAGGGAACACGGACGCTAGTCTCTGGGAAAGAGAACTTGCACTGAGCATGTGCAAACAGTCTCTAAGCCGCCAGGACGCTTCCCCTAGTCAGCTCCTGCACTCTGAGGAGCTGCTCATCCGTTCTGTGGCTAGACTAGCACATTATTAGCTGCCTCTGTCTGTAACAGGAGCACCAGACTCAATGGCTTCAGTTCCACTCGCTCCCACGCAATTTGCACTTGCAAGTGGAAATTTTAAGCCCTGCTATAGCATGTCACTTGACAGCTCAGAGTCTGCTGGGGCTGATGACATCACATCCAAGGAGGCACTCTTAGGTGTGATGTAAACTACATGGATAAAAAAAGTTAAATGCACATATAACATTATGGGAAAGTTTTTGTTAAAATGGTCCTGACAAGGAAGTAAAAAAAAGTTAAAATTGCAGAGAGTAACTTTATTCTTCCTATCCATAATTCTGGCAAGGATTCTATCCCATATTTCCGTGTGTATAGATGGTGTTTTCCACTGGCCATTTTGGTTCCTTCTGAGGACTTGTATCACATTTGTGCCCTCCACGGACTAGGGGGTCAACAGGAGGAACCACAGAGGCTAGAAGGATAACCAGGTATTCGACAAGGAGTTAAACAGATTCGTCATCTGGTGCTCTGCTGCAGAGCGAAGTTTCGGCAAACTGGCCACCAGACACGTTAGTATAAAGTTGCTTAATCACAAGGTTCTGCAATTATATTTATTTTAATCCCCGACAGGGTCGCTTTAAACAAGACAATACAGTCCCATTTTAACATAATGCTGCCAGATTTGTAGCTTATATCTCAATGTTGCTAAAAGGGTGTGTAGTGCAAGCCTTTTGCAAAAACATTAGAAAAAGCTCTTATTTTTCTCTTTTTCTGCCTTCCTAGCAGTCGTAAAGCAACCATCTAATTTCAAAAAGCAGAGAACAGAGGTCATTTACCCTTGTTCAGACTATGCTATACACGGTTGAGGGGCCACACAGAGGGACGCATCAGATTCCTGCATGTATCTGACAAAGCCATAGGAAGATAGAGTATGTTTTTCACTTTTTTTTTTACAGCATTTCACATTTTATTTCTAAATTTATTTAAAAAAGATTGATCCTGGACTATCACAATACTGATTATTGAAATGTCCAATAAATCATATAAATAACAATAAATGATGTATAGACAGAAACACCAGATATACCTTAAATCTCCATCTTGTAACAACAACAAACTTAAGCGTGTGATCCTTGCCCAGAATTTCTTCATTGCATAAGATATCCAACTAAAAAATGCAAATAAAAGGGTTAAACTCACGTTTCATATGAAAATTATTGAAGGAAACCTGTACCCCAAAAAATATGTGGGCAGTCATTGCCGTTTTTATGAAAAACATAGCCATGTGCCTGTTCCAGTGAGATTTTCACAGGTTGCATTAGAAGCTGCACCAAGTCAGAGAGACCCACCTAACTTCCTGGCTCGACGTCCAGCATCATCTAGACTTTCCTCCCCAGCCCGACTATCCCTGGTCTGCACATTTAATAAATTGGATTTCAGATCTTTCAAACATTAAGGCTCAACATTGCATATGGGCCTTATCTGCATGCAATACAGTCTGCCTAGGAACACCTCCCAAAAGCCAACCCACTGCCTGCGTCAGGGCTGAGGGCAGGGCCGGATTTACTCTCCCTGCCGCCCCAAGGCCAGGTTCCGCAATACGCCCCAAATTTGTTGTTTTTTTTAATCAACTTTTTATTTTTTTATTTCATTATTTCATATTTTTTTTAATCAATGGAATTTTTTTTTCACCTAACTTTATTGCTATCACACAGGAGATAACCAGCCCCTGTGTGATAGCATTTGGAGGTTCTATTTATTGACCCTGTCACCTCCAATACATGAGTTCTAGCACAGCACTGTGCTGGAACTCCTGTGACAGGTGAGAGAGGAAGTGCACGGCTCTCCCCTCTCACTGTCTACACGGAGCGGCAGGCTTACTTTTAACCCTGTCGCTCTGCTCACTGCAGTTAGGAGAGACTCGGCGACGGAGGACGGAACCAGAAGAGAGAGGTAAGTGCAGGGGGGAGGGGAGGACGGACCGGCCGGCTGCAGACTGTCTACATGTCTTCTCGGCGATATCGCCGAGATGACATGTAAACGAACAATCGGCTGCCTCACTCTACATTTAGTCCTGGTTGTACAAAGCAGGACTAAATGTAGAGAGGGCAACTTACCGCCCGGCGCCCGCAACTTCCCCACAAGGACACCGCTGCCGCCCTATGCGCCCTGCCGCCCCGAGGCCGGGCCTCGGTGGCCTTGTGAGAAATCCGGGCCTGGCTGAGGGCTCTTCAGAGGAGTACTAAGGTTCAGGATGCGGTGATGTTTTTAGTTATTCAAAAAACCAAGAAAGGGCGCAGAGAACACTAGCTAGTTAACAAAGTAGTGATGAAAAACTGAAGGTGGTGGCACTTACGTGTGAATGCCAGGATCTGGAAGTGATGTTTTTAGGACACTATATAAAGCATCCTGCAGGCCCCTCCCACCAGCCATGATCTGCCTGCATTGCACAGAGACCTCATGAGGATGTCAATGGGACTAAAATAATGTATGAAAATTATTTTCTTTAAAAAGGTCACTAGTATGTTGATGAAGGGGAAGGAGGAACCAGAAAAGGCAAAACATAAGTAGATTAAACTTCAGATTTAATGCCAGTGACTTGCATTTTTAGAAAGAGGTCAATAATTGCAGCCTACATATTGCTCTATGTACAGGTTTCCTTAAAATTTAATATTTAGAGGTAGGGAGGAAAACAAATTTTTTTTGCGTGCTGTGATATTATTTAGAGAACAAAACATGAACAAAAAAAACAATAATGTGAATTGTAAATATATTATCTATTCCAACTATATATGAATATATGTAGAGGATAAAATGCAATACACACGGTAACTTTTGTATGTCTTACCTCATTGAACGACGACAAATTGAGCTTTTTGGCTATGAACTTTTTTAGATGCAAGACTGTCGCTTGGGCTGAACAGCGTATCCATTTTCGCTTGAGTCCACGCAACTTACTGCTATTGCATTCTAAGCATATACTGACCTATGGAGAGGAAAATAAAGCAAAGAAGACACACTACTTAATAGATCACAATGCCAGCCAAGATTTGATGTTGTGCCACTTGAGAGCATAGAAGATGATACAGGCAGAAGTTCACCTACTGTTGGTCTTTAGAAACAAATACATCTCAAAGCAGATTGTGCTCACAAGCTGTAGTTACTTCGTAAATGATCTCAAAGCTTAGAATCAGAGAGAAGCTGTTTGTCCACATCTGATAATACTAGAACTAAACCAAGCTTCCTTCAAACATGAAAACAAATTAAATATATGGAAGGGAACCGCTTGGCGGCATGGTACCAATGCAATAATGCCAAGAAGATACAACTCTCCCTTTGTGCCACAATCAATGTCTCTAATAAATTACATTTACATGCCTCCAAGTAACAGCTAAATATAGAAAGCTGCTAAATGAAATGCACAGCATGAACAAATACATAGGTCACACAAATGTCATCCTGCATTGTGTTCCCCTCCAAGCTCATTATACACAGGCCCTGCTTTCCATCCTAATAGCCATTATTAGATCACTTTTGTCAGTATACACTGAATACATTGGCACGGAGATCAGGCAGAGCAAGCCCAGCAATTCTGAAATCTGTTAACAATACAACATTTTTACTCTTAACATTTAAGTGCTACACAATGTTTCCTGGGATAAAAAGGTTAAACAATCAAATTGATGCAAAACTATTACACTGCATTGTTTCCTCCTTGCAATTTACTCTGTATTGCTTCCAGGAAATATTGCTTCTACACCTTACCCTTTACAAATAGTGGCCACTCAAAATCAACCCAAAGCTTAATGTCTAGTTACGGATAGCTTCAGAATTCTAAAAGTCACTGTGGTCCAATGGAGTCAATCATCTACCAAACCTTGCATATATCTCTTTAAATGAGAGATCAAAGGGTTTAATCATATTAACTACATACATTTTATTCTGAATCTGTCCAGTTGACAACAGCTACTCTACACTCAGATATCATTCAAGGGAATGTGTATTCCTTAGTAACCCTCCACCCCTTTCCAGAGCAGAAAATACACACAAGGTTGCTACAGCCTGGACTCTGAAGGAATAGGATTACCTGCTCATCACTCCTGTGGTAGTCATGGTCATCCTCTTGTTTTTCCTCTGTTGACTCTTTAGTTGAATTATCTTCTGCTTTTGTTTCACCTACAATAAAAAAAAAAAGAATAAACAATGCTAACTCAAAACGAAATAGGATGTATTGCATGTTTTGGAAAGATAGTGCTATCACTGAAAACCACGCAATTTAAAAGCCAGCTGACCCAAATTGTCACCAAGCATGGCAGAAACTTGTCACACTAGCTCCTCACTTGTCAGCTTGACTGTTTGAAAAAAATGCCATGGCTGCAACTCCCTCGGGGAGAGGAGAAATTTGGGATTGAATGATGGTGTGGTGGACTGCGCATTCTCGGCCTGTTGAGACGGACTGGACGCCATCTTCTGGCCCATAAAAAGGGTTCAGAATTCAATGTAAGCAGTAATCCTCTCTTACCATCCACATGGAAACTTTCTATGGACATTTTCTACAAATATCATGTGGATCTGGCTATTTCTCCATTTACAGGTGTGCTATACATCAACACAGCAATTCACACTTACTCAGCACATCTACCATCTTGTAAAGACATACTGGGTCACTTGACATATTTAGGCTGCGTGATTGATTACTTTTAAGGGAGTATTTCCAGGCAGTAACCTAGCACAGATGTGTGAGTAATGGGAGATTTATAAAATACATATTACACACATATACACACACACACACACACACACACACACACACACACTTCTTTCTACCCACCATCTATATAAATTAGTGTAGATGTTTATACTACTTTTTTGTACATTAGTATAAAATTATAGGTTTACAATTGGCTTGTGGTAGCCGTCTAATACAGGTCATTTAGCCAATGTGTACAACAATGTTTAGAACCAATAGACTGCGGACCATTTGGGAAAAAGGTTACAGGCCATTAATCTATTTGTTATAGCTAGTAAATAGAAATCTGTGTTTTGCTTGCCTATCTGGAAAATCCAGAAGCCTTGATTATTTGTGTGGCGATTCTCACACAGAACTTTCCAATGAAACTATCTTAGGGCAAATCCAACAGATTTACATTGAGAAAATCTTGTACACCATTTGTATACAATAATCCATGTCCGATACAAGGAGACAGAGGCACAGAAAGCACAGTTTCAAATCTCACCATTCCTAACGGCTTCTACATTCTGTTTAACTGTACACGTTTCCCCTTTGATATCACCAGGCACTTCCATTCCAAGCTTGTGATAGAATTCTCTTTGTTTTCGGATTTCCGCTAATACAAAAAGATAAAAAGCAAGAAACAAATGTTCAAAAGGTACCGAGGCCATGAGGAATGAATGTGATGATGATACACAAAGGCCAACACGCATTACCTAGGATGTACAATTGACAACAATTTGTTAAACATTTAAAAATAAAACATCCTTTCTCTAAAGGGTCGGGAAATTCCCTTTAACAAGCTGTGTATATAAAAATTTGTTTCTATTTCCCAGTTTCACTATTGGACTTCCTACACTGCTTTCTGGACTACTATATACTGCCTCTTTGGCCAGAATACCGTCCCTGATTTTAACAGCATGCTCAACTGCCAACAGCTTTCTAAATCATTCATACTTGCTTTAGCTAGGTTAGGTTTACATTTGAGATGAGTAGTGACAAAGAGGAAGTAAAATCTGGAAGCTTTGCCCAAAAAAAACAGGCAGTTAACATGGTAGTGGCAGGGCTTTTGCCTCCTTAGGTCAGAGCCTCCAGCAAGGACAACAGTGAGCAGCAAAGCAGTGAAATCACCAAATCTCTCTAAATCATATAAGACTAGCAGTCAAATGCAGCAAAACCTTAGATTTTATACGTCAGATATACAGATGTAGACATAGAAGTGTCTGGGCACACTCACATACAGGGAGTGCACTTATTTTTCAGGAGGATTTCCAGACAAAAATAAAAAAAATGTCATGGTACAGCTTAGACTTAACTAACTTTTCTAAATCCAACAGTGACAGGGCTTGTTCCAGTCATGTTTGCTCAGACTACAGTTTACGGGGGAATGCTGAATTGTGAGCATCAGTAAATCGTCATCTCCCCTGATTGACAAGCTATTTGCTTGCCTATTAAGGGGGTGGCCATAACTAGCCTTGCCCAACCCTTTCCTCCAGCATATATGCTAATACAGCTAGTTTGAAGGGAGGTGTGCTGGGAAATCTGCCAGGACTATGTAGGATGAGCCTTTAGCAACAGGACCGTTCCTTATACTGTTCCAGTCAATGCAAAGTAAAGCAGTGGTAGAGAGTCACATGATACATCATATGAACGGTTTGGGACAGGTTAAATGGTCACAAAATCCATGACCCTGCCATTTAAATTTGTAACTCGCAGAAAAGAAAGTAGCACTTTTGCTACATGCTCAAGAGAACAGTGCCAACAGTATAATATATACTATGACACCACATTACCCATTTCTCTCTATGCCCTTCTCCCTGCTTGTTTTGGCTGTAAATTTTTAAACTGATGCCCCCACCCCCACCACAGATTAGGCATCTAAATCGAACACAGGTTTAAAATAGTTACTGACACTTTGCTAAGTAAACATACCCATCTTTAATAAAATCAACACCAATGGTTTTTCAATTTGTAAATTCATCTTTTATTGCGGCATAAACCTACCTTCTTGAAGACCCGGCACCAGTTTGTAAACAATATCTTGCATTGTTCGGTCGTGGCTAGAAAAGAGAATCATCAAAACATGAAACAATTGTTATAAATAGTGGATGAGTATAGAATAAAAATAATAATTCCAATGACTGTCGTTGAAAACTTCCCATTTTACACAGAGAATAAAAAACTTCACTGATCAGCCTAGGGCTGGATTGTAGAGGCTAACACACATTCCATGAAAAGCAAAAATAACAATGCATGTTGTCCCTGTGCTGGCGTGGGTTTACTCTGGGTGCTCTGGTTTTCTCCCACACTCTAAAGACATGCTGGTAGGATAATTGGCTCCTGTCTAAATTGGCCCTGTATGTATGTGAGATAGGGACCTTAGATTGTAAGCTCCTTAAGGGCAGGGGACTGATGTGAATGTGCAACTATGTAAAGCATTGCGTCAATTGTCGCCGCTCTATACCTGTAATGATAAAAAACTGACAGTAGGTTTTGTTTTGGTAGAAGGGAAAGTTTTGTTTTTTTTCTCTTCTGCCTAAAAACGTCTTCCTTCATCCGTGTACATGGACTTTAAGACATTTACAGTGCAGTACACACACCCCAGCTTATTCCCACCATAGGGAAGATAGCCTGAATGTAGCAAGATCCCAGGACAATGCAACTCCAGTGTGCATGGGCAGGTGTTATATCATCAGTGGCTGCCCCCAATAAAAAACTGGCCTCAGAAGAAGACAGGCAGAAGATGTCAGCAGCAGTGACATTGGAGGAGGGCACACTAAAGGGTAAGTGTGCCATAAATGTACAAGCATGCTGCAAGAACCCAACTAACACAAAAGGTTCTACAGCAATGCTTTAAATTGAATGCCAAGTTGAATCAACAGCATGAAATGGGTTGGCTAAAGGAGAGATATAATAATTATAAATATATATATTTTTTTTAAAGTTCTCCCCACTATACACACATGGTATGGTAGGGTAATTAGTTAAGACTGAACAATATTAGAGATATTAGATATTTTGCTGTTCAAATGTTATCCTTATGCAATGTCCTATAAGGCATTTAGGGATTTTCCCATCTTTCTTGTGCCTAATGGCAAACAATTATATTGTAATGTATGCCCTTCCATCATCAATAAACAAATCTCATTAAAAGTGTACAAAAAATAAAATAAATACAAATCATTCGCATTTTCAGAAAGTAAAAACTGCATTTTACAAAAATAGAATGTTACTACACAGGGAATGTATTTTACAGACATATTCCATTTAAACTTCATTAGCATAGACTGTAGAAAGTATTCACTGAACGTGAAGCCTAATTCACTGAACTGGTACTTGTAAAGTACCAGCACACAGCCATTTAGACTGAATGCTAAAAGTGGCTTTGATGGAAGAAAATAGGACGCCCTGCTGGCTTCTGTTCAAGACTGAAAACTCTTGTATATTGCCTGGCACTTTCCAAGACGTGTCCAAAGAATGATAGTGGAACTATGAGGATTTTTTTTTTCCCCCCACAAGTGAAATTACCTCTAAAGAGGAATTTACTAGCTCCAGAGTGCTGCTGGTTACTGTACAACGCACATTTTCATTCACATTCTTTTCATAGAATACAAGCTATTAGACATGTGCGATTCTTTTCGTTCCGAATCGAAATTCGGACGAATTTTGGGAAATTCGGACATTCGGATGTATCCGAATTACAGACATATCGAATGCAAACGAATCCGAATTTCCATTTCCGAAATTCGGTAGCGGTAGTTCGAACGTTCGTTTTGTTTTCTGTTCTTATTCGTTTCTTATTCGTTTCGTTCGTTGGAGCAAAGTGACATTAGAGAAGGAGAAAAAAATTTTTTCCCCCTCAAATGTCACTTTGCTGCAAACGAACGAACGAAACGAATAAGAACAGAAAACGAAACGAACGTTCGAACTACCGCTACCGAATTTCGTCCGAATCCGAATTTCCGAATCCGAATCCCGAAATAACACAAATCCGAATTTAAAACGAAACGAAACTAAACAAATTTTTTGGCAGTGCACATGTCTACAAGCTATTCTGTGAGTGGACGAAGGAAGATGAGGGGTGGGTAAATTACATGATCTTCTAGGCCTTGTATTCTGGGAACATAGCTCTGAGGCATACCTCCCACTGTCCCTTATTTGCAGCGACTGGCCCTCTTTTGGAACCAAATCCCTCTGCCCCTCTTTCCTCTACGGCTGTCCCTCTTTTTGGTCTCATATACAGAGATCTATAGGTTCTATCTAACTACAAAAGATGTTATTCTGTACTAACACCTTTATCTTATCTCTTAAATATCTTGGGTTTAAATAAACATTTGACATCAATGCAGATTCCAAGAAACCGTTCTCTTAATTAAAAAAAAAAAAATATGGCATATAAGATTCTACAGACCACAGTGGCCAAGGCATGTGCTTAGATACTAAGTAGGACACAGCTGGAATAGAATGTCTACGGGTGTGTTTTTTTTCCCACTGTCCTACATCTATGTATATCTATATCTCTCTATATACACACACACACACACACACACACACACAGCAGTTATTACCCACTGTTGATTAAAGGAGAACTATGAGGTGAGTGCTTTTCACTCACCTCATAGTTCTAGCCGACCTGTGACAATGAGACTGTCACAGGTCGGCTCAGTAGATCAAGAGGTGAGTGAACACATACCGGGTTCGCTCACCTCTCGATCCTGTCACGGCTCTCTCCCGTGACAGGGGGAGGGGCTGGATTAAGCAAATCATAATTGCTACTGAACTGGTATCCTAAAAGGGGTTCTTATAAAAAAAGACCCATGTTACCCATAAAGTCCCAAGTTCAAGAAATAAATGCCTATTAACCTTATTTGCATAAATACTGGGCTTTGTACAAACTATACTAAAGTTTGACCTTCTCCACGAGAACAACATAAAGCTTTACAAACAATTTCACCCCAATACTGTATCTACTTTGTATTATTACTTTTTTTTAAATAGCCACTAACACAAAATATATTAAAATAGGACAAACGGTACAATTAACAGATCTCACAGCAATCCTCAAAAAACCGCAATCTCTCTCTTTTTTCTATAAAAAGACTTTCTCACAAATATTAGTTAGTTTCATATTTCTGGGGCTTGAAAGCGGACAAAATGGTCAGTGTCCAAGTCTAGTAATCTTTGCAGCTGCAGAATACTAGTCATACCGGTTTACTCAAAAAGCACACAATAACATTTAATTTTCTTGTTCAATAAATATAATACAGACCTTTTTTATTTTATTATAATATGAACAGACATTTAGAATACTAACTGCATTATCTAGGCATACAGTTTACATTTCTGTATTTCACTTACCCTATATACTGCAGAGGATGGCTCTGGTGGATTACAATTCTGCATGTTGGACATGTGTTATTCTCTTCCAAATACTTCACCAAACAACTTCTGCAAACTGCAGAAAGAAAAGGTTGAATTTGTTTCTTAAAAATAACCTTTAAAAAAAAAGGAAACAGATACTCTCTTCTGTTCTAAAATATTACCAAGTAAACAGCATTTTGAGTTTGATTTGATTATAAAAAGGCCAAAAAAAAATCTCTAATTAAAATGTTCTTTCTTGGATACATTATCTGTTTTACCAAAAGGCAGCACTGCATCACTAACGTCTCAATTCAGCTCGCAAACAGTGCCATCTACTGGTCATTGGTCAGGATTCTTCATTATATGAGACGCGTAGGTATGGAAAAGTGCAGTAACCCATAGTAAACTAAAAATATTCTCTCTCATCCGACAGGAGCAACTGTACTTAGCCATTTTCAATATAGAACTCTTAACCACTTTGCATCTGGCACATGTGTTTGATTTTTGCACACATCTTAAAAATCCAAATTTTTGGCAAGAAAACAGTTTTAAACCCCTAAACAATAATACATTTCCTGAAAGCAGAGGCTGTGTAGAATTTAAAAAAAAATGCTAGTTGCAATTTTTTGTTGCACAGGATTTGCGCAAATGTTTATCAAATTGATATTTTTAGGAAAAAGATACACAAACATTAATTTTAGTGCACACAAACAATAGAATACCCAATAATTTTGTAAAACATAACAGATTAGGTTGTGTCAGGTAAATAAAAACGTGAAAACCTTACATTTGCATGTACCTCTGAAGGAAAGCCTTTTTATTTTTTTCACTTTGGATAGAAAACGAAAAAATTCCCCTTAAAATGTGGAACGTAATGCTTATACATCAAGGGCATATAAAAACATAACATACATTTCTTGTGATATTAGTATAGCAACATAGGATGTTCCATGCTACTTTTAAAAGTAGTAATTCCTGCTTACTGACTTTTTGGAAATGTTTTCTCACTTGTTATTTAATCACATGGAGAGAGGCGTTTTACTGAATACTGTAAATACAGTGGAAATCCAAACAATTTTAAATGATCGATGGAGTGGGGGAAAAAAAAAAGGCTAAAAGCTCTAAATTTTTATTGGTGATGGTATTCCTGTTAAGGTGCCCATACACTGCACGATTCTCGTACGAGAATCGCAAGAAATCCCGCGATCGTACGAGAATCGTGCAGTGTATGGAAGGCGTGCGACCGTTTCTACTGTACGGTCGCACGTCTTCCGTCGAACCAGCAGGCTAGAAAACCCGCCGGGAATCGTACGATTCTCGGCGAGTTAGTGGCCTGCTGGTTCGACAACTGCCGAACGCACGCGCACACAGCCCGTTTGCAGTCATCTTAAGCCCGCCCCTCATTGCAGTCATCGTAAGCCCGCCCCTCAGGGGGGCGGGCTTGCGATGATAGAGAGTACGATCTGCCTGTCCTAGATGGGCAGATCGTACGTTTTTTTAATCACTTTACAACCATCGCAAGACTAAGGTCTTGCGATGGTTGTACAGTGTATGGCCACCTTTAAAGTGAGCAGAAATCTCAGTGACCACCTGGAATTCTAGTTACTTGATCACCACATCTTTCAGTACTTAAGAGTACTTGACATGGAACAAGCCCAGAGAAAGTAAAGTCAGAACCCTTGATATGCACGCTTGTTCCAGATCTAGAATTGAAAGTATTGCAGCTGCTAAATCAGCATAACAGGCAACTCGGATTTTTAAGAAGAGATATCAGCAATGGAATCCTAAAGATCCATTCACACCATATCCATATTAGGTGTGAACGGCAGATTAGGGATTCCTGCTGCAGGAGATTGCACGTTCTTGACAGGGGAATCCCTAATCTGCCATCTACAAGTGGCAGCTGGTACCCATTCAAGTTAATAATTGGGTGAAAGCTGCTGTATTTGAAAGTGGCAGAACACCAGCACACTGCATGTTATCGTATGTGACATTATTGCATGTGGTTAGGAATCAATCACTATCCTTGCAGTTTGGATGCGATTGATTCCTAACTGCATGTAATGGTATCAAATAAATACGAATAAATATGGTGTGCTGGCTTTCAAATGCAGCGACTGTCACCCCATTAACAACTTGAACGGGTGTCAACTGCCGCTCGTAAGCAGCAAATTGCAAGTTCCTGACGCAGGAATCCCGAATAGCACCTAAAATAGAGGTGTGAATGGATCCTAATTCTCTCTGACTAATAAAATGAAGGTACAATATTTAATATATACTTCCTTAAACACTTCACTACCATCAAACATTTTAAACTGACAGAGTGGTGGATGAGGTGTTCTGCAGTGTCATTTTAAAAACGGCACTTTGGATTACACTGTGAGACAGCACAGATCATGGTCCAATCAGAGTGACTCTGTGCCTTGTGATTGCTGTGATGTGAACACTGCAAATGCTTACCTTTGTAAACCCCTCCCTTTCTTTCATAGTGGAGAAAGGGGAGAATGAAGAATTTCAAGAAAGAAGCAATCCTATGAATATATATGTTATAAATCTTTTTGTGGTACCTTTACCCCTCCATCCTTTCCCTGTAGTGCCTGCTTATAAAAACACCTTTATTTGGTTAGCGTTGTATAACCAAGTGATGTTACCCCCTTTTATGACTGAGCTGTTTTTTTTAGTTTCTGTTCATAAATGACTGATGCAATTTTTACATTTTTGCTGTGTAATTCTTCCACAGCAGTAATATACTTTCTTATTAAGTGCACCCACACATCATGTATTGTTTTTTAGAGGACAGATAGGCACACATATATGATTATAAATATATAACGCCTCACTAAGTATAAATTTAAAAAAAAAAAACAAACAAACACACAACACATCTTTTTCCCAGCTTTGATTATTATTTTTTAGAATATAGCACATCCCTTCGATTTCAAATTTTTTTCTCTACTTTTCAGCCTAAAACTAAAAGGCTAACATTTAATTTTTTTTTTCACTAAAAGCTAATAGTGGTTAGGTTAGTGGCATACATTGTCACTGTCACTAAGTTTCACACAGTGACAGCGACACATACTTTGAACAATCACCAATAATTAAAAAATTAGCCCATTAGGGTGAAAAACAAAATTGTAAAAAGGGTTAATTTTTTCATTATAATATTAAAAAATATTTTTTTATGGTATTAAACTTTTTTTTTACAATTTTCTTTATTTTTTTCCATACTTTGCACTATTTCTTTTATTTCAGTTATATCAAGCAGTAATTGAGAATGGATCTCACTATGACTGCTTGATAATAACCAAAATTTAAAAAAAATGATTAGGCTGTTCCAAACTTAGGAACAGCCAATAATAAGCTTAGTGACTGTTCCTGAAATGCAGATCTTGCAGCATTTCAGGAACAGCTCTCGCTAAAGACTTCTGATCGTTCTGATATATAAACTGTTTGATACAATGTTTCAACAAAAACAACATTTTGATTCATGTTTCTATTGCACACATGTAGCAAAAAGCTGATACACAGCGGGATTTCCTAAACCCTTATGTGTTCAGCTGTCAAACATTGATAGTAAGTGAGGTGAACACCGCACAGCTATTACTGCGAGATAACAGATCGCTACAAGCGATCAGGTATCTGTCAAAGCTTAATTCTTTCATTAATGGATGCCTCAATGCTGAGGCATCCATTAATGAATGGTATCTGCTGATCTCAACAGTTACCGGCTTTTGACAGCTCCAAATAGCTGATCACGTACAGTACAGAGCACATCATGAAGGGGTTACTCAGTTTTGTTGCAGCACTGACATTTTAATGAAGGGGTATTAGACATAGCTTGGTACTCAGGTGGTTAATCATGTTAAGAAATAAAATACTGGGGGGTGCCAACAAAAAAAAAAGCATATACATTTTAAGAGATGTTGTTATCAATACATTTCTTTTCAAAGTTGAATTGAATTACGGTAGCAATGTGTAGTATGAGGTTTGCTCACAAGATGGCAATAATCAAATGTATGCTAGCATCACCATGTTACATGCAGGACATTCAAAGAAAATGGCAGAAGCACGGTTGTCGTTCAAGGAGAGCAAGACAATTTCGAAGTGGTACTTGAAATTCGCAAAAATTGTGGAAGTACAATGACAATGAAAGCGTGAGTATGCAAGAGAACCTCCAATACGCCTAACAATTGCACACATTTGTGATAAGTTTGAGACGCATGGTAGTGTGTGTGATGTGCACAAGGGGAGATCTGGGAGTATTCGCACAGCAACAAGTCCTTCTTCTGCTCTTGTGTTGGAACAGTTTACACCAGGGGTTTCAAAGTACTGTCCCGCAGGCCAACTCTGGCCCGCAAACCAGTACTATGTGGCCAGCAGCCAGCTGACAAGTCAAGCACATGGTCACAGACTGCGTACAAGACTTGCAGAGGCAGCTACACAGTCTGCATCTCCGGCGCATACAGTCTGCATAGCTGCTTCTGGCTGTGCAAGCACTCCGATCCTTTCGGCTTGCGTTCTGACAGTCTTCACTGAATATTGGCCAAAAGGATGGATTAGTAATTCTGCACCAGACCTTACCAATCAACCACTGGATCACCAGGGATTGTGCCTCCTCGCTGCCTCCCTATACTTAAGCAGGCGAGGGGGCTTGCGAGGGGTGTATTATTTTGTGTGCAGGGAGGGGGTTACACACTATTGTGTATTAGTGTGTGGGGGTTGTATTTTTATTGAATTTCTGCATCATTAACAACTTGTGTATAATAGAGGGTTATCATGCATTTATAAAAAAGTGTACAGCAAATGTTTAATCTACAATAAATGGGAAGCATACAATAAAAGGTTTAGGTGTACGTTTAATAAACTGTGATAAAACTAGCTTTATCACGAGTTAACTTTACTCAGCAGATCTCTTTGTTTTTCTCGGCTGCACAGAGGCTGTTTAATAACCTGCGAAAAGAAAACTTCTCACGTAACAGCTGTGAAAGGCTGAGATAAGTTATCTCAGTGATCAGTTGAGAAAGCAATGTGGGGAATGTATTCTGAGCTGCACAATGACATCCTTTGTGATAATCTGCAATCCTCCTGACAGGATCGTAGTTTAATCTGCCAAACCACCCATTAACAATATTACAAATACACCTTAGTGTACAGTGAAAGTTATTCCCACAGCAAAGGTAATTGTATGCTGAACTGCAAGTGATCAATGTGCAGTCTGCATGTAGTATGAAGTTTTGGGCAATGAGACAGCCAAGTGCTTAAAGCAGAACTCCAGGAATTTGTATTTTTATTATTAATCCTTGCAGGGGAGCTACACCCACACTGCAAGGGTTAAGTGTTCATTTGTGTCTAGGTGCTAAAATAACAAATATATACTCATTGAGCCAGCTGTCACAGAGCTCCCTCCAGTCTGTCCCCTCCGCAGCAGACTGGAATGTTCCTCGGTGTCCTCACGTCTATGCAGTGTATAGACGTGATGATTTACTGGACCTTAGACCACTGCAGAGTAGGGGAAGAGACATTCCACAGACCGGTCTAAGACCCCATTCACACCTAGCGACATACCTTTTGCAGCGGATCCGCACGGCCGGGATAGCGCGACTTTCAGGGCGACGTTCCAGCGACGGTAGCGTGACCTTCCCCGTCGGGCTCCATAGAAAAAAAGCAAAATCGCGCAAAATCCGCCGGAAAAAGGGTCCGGTAGAAGCGACTTGCGACCGCGACAAGGGCAAAAATGCGCGATATCGCGGCGGAAATCGCGCGACAATTCGCTATATGTGAACGGGGCCTTAGACGACGCAGGTTTGGAGCTTCGGGCGAGTAATTCTTTGGGGTTTTTTTTAACAGACAAAAAAGGGCAGTTGAACCTTCCAGTGCGGGAGTAGCCCCACTGCAAGGGTTACTAAAACAATTACTGGAGTTCTGCTTTCACATACTTTTACTGCAGCCTGTGTAAATTCAAAAATCTTCCCAACGCAAATGAATCACAGCAAGCCTTCCTCCTTAATTGATTCCACCTGATCACACTGGGGCAGCTCCACAAGGCAGGGAACCTTAACATCTATAGAATGACAAAAAAGGAGAGCACCCACTCCATGTGAAGGATTGTTTAATAATTTGCTTTTTTTAAAAGGGTTAACCCTTGCCACTCGCTGCTGGAAGATGACTTCGGTCGTGAGACGACTTGGCTGTGCTTCGGCTTTTGATGGGCGATAGCCTCCTGTGAGGGGAACCATTGAATACGCTTGTGTCACTTTTCTCTTGTGAGTACATTACCATTTTTTAAAAGCAAATTATTAAACGATCCTTTAAATGGAGTGGGCGCTCTCCTTTTTTGTCATTCTACTTTTACTGCAGCTATAGTGGGTAATTTATAAAGCAGTGGTAAAGCCTTACTAAGGCCATGCCACTTATTCTCAAAATAAGTATTTTCTGGCAGTTTTTCAAAAGCACATAAAACAGAAACAAGGGATGATGTATTTGTTTTATTGAATGAGGGGGGAAAACAAAAGGAAAAAGTGCCCGGAAGGGAAGCCCAATCACATAACCAGTCAAACCAAGTGACCGAGCTATCCTCCTATACAAAGTTCTCTCTGCAGCGTTATGTTACTGTTGCCTGCGTTTCATAAATGGTCCTTAAAATCCAGGTGCAGTACTACGTAAAACTATGATGCCCTGTGGACATTGGCATGGTGTTGGTACTTGGGGTACTAGGTATGCTTGTGGGAATCAGGCAGTAACAGTGGGAGATTATAAGTTCCTAATGTAAATAGTTATACGCCTGTGTTAAGTCTGTAATTCATCTGTGCTAATTTTTTCAATATAGTCCACACCGACCATACTCCATATAAACTGGCTACAAGACCAAGGCCTTCATTCAGTGCCTCTGAATAATACCTTAAAAGAGATAAGTGTTTTCTTAAGGGTCACAGGAGGACACATACTAGCGTCCTCCTGTGACACAAATCTCAGTATATCGTGAGCTACAGCTCGTGGTATACTGAGAACACAGCAGCCGGGACGGATCCCGACATAAAACTGTTGAGATCCACCCAGCTGCGTGAGTGACAGCGGGCTCTGCCTATCTAGAGGCAGAGCCAGCTGTACCCTCCCCCATCTGTTCCTCCAGTCAGCGCTGGAGGATCGGAGCGGGGAGGGGGGGAATCTGTGCAGGAAGCCGTGACTGACAGTTCCCTCACTGCCCGATCTACTGAGACGGCGTGCGATAGTTTCATTGTCACACGTCGGCTTGAACAATGAGGATGAGTGATTTTCACTCACTTCATAGTTCTCCTTTAACTATTTACAGCCAGTCACCTAGCTTATATAATGGATATAACTTGCACAGTGAGCAGCAGATATAAAATACACAAATTAATGCACATAGGTATTAACACATTCCATGTATTTTTTCTTCTTAATAGAACCATTTTAAAGTACCTGAATTTGATTTGTTTAATAGAACCGTTTTAAAGTACCTGAATTTGATTTTTTTAATAGAACCATTTTAAAGTACCTGATTAAGCATTTGCTTTTCTGCAAATGCAGTGACAAAAGGACACACTGATCACCTATTCAGACTGTACTAATAATGTTAATGAAATAATTTGGATTTTTTGAAAAGTATAAAAATTAAGAGTATAATAGCAGATTGGTGATAGATGGAGGCAATAATTGGTTGAGGCTTGCAAATGCAAAATGAAGGATAGATGTATATATGTTAGGGTTTTAAATTACATTTTGTGAAACTATATAATAGATAAAAGGTACTTGAATGTATTTTTAAGATTTAATTTCTGAGCTCAGGGTCCCTTTAAAAGTCTGTCTATAGCATGTCTATATCATCTGTATATGTCTATATCATCTAAAGATATGATTCTATATGATGTAGTACTCCAGAAGCCAACTGTGTAAGTTTTTATGAGTTTACTACAACAATTTAGTTAGGAGAACATATTGGAATATAGTGAAAACAATCACCCTTGCTGACAGTTTATACATGTAACTTGTAACAAAACTAGGTGTACAAATCTGTATAAAACGTCAGGAGAAAAATAAAATCTTTCAGCACTGTCAAACCATTTCATTATGATGGACTACTGCCTGTGGGTCCCTTTTTGCCCTGACTATCTACTGTATATCAGAGTTGTAGAACAATACTTACAGGTATGTAAGCACTCTGTCACAGTAGTGGCATCGATAAGGTAACCATTGCACAAGCGACATGTGATATGAGCGTTGATATCCCAGAGTTTTATCTTTCTGGTCAGCATCTTTGGTGTCTGGAATAAAAGGGGAAAAAAAGGTCAAAATTATTAGAAAATGAACGAAACGTGAAAATAAGTAACACTTATGTAATTATTTTACAAAATTAACCATCAAAGCAATTCAGACGTAGTAATTTTCAAAATGTAATACTAAAAGCATTGCGGGAAACTGTATGTGTCGGTGAAATTGTAACTTTGAGACATAAGAGCAACTTATGTAGTAACCATTACAAATGTCTGGGAGATCCAATTCATAGGTCATTGATGCGTTCTACAAAATATATATTTTGTCAACACTGACATTTTAAGGCATAATCAGCAAGACGGATGGTTTTCTATTAGTTTTATTTTCCATAATTAAAATGTAAAGAGGAAAGCCGCAGCATTCGCTAGAAAACACATGTCCACTTGGCCCACTCCCATCTAAATCCATTCATTTAATGTTTAATTGAAGACATATTGATATTTATGCAATTTTACCCTAACCAAGAATAACTGTTTAATATGCTTACAAAGAAAGTGCAATGTAATGCATGTTTTTTTCTGGGTTTCTGTTAGAAAGCATTACCCTCTCTTCCTGTCCTGACAATGTTTCATCAGACAGGAAGGAAGGGAAACTGCAAGAAATAAAAATCTGACAAGGGTTCTAGCCTTTCCCCATTTATTTATTTCTGTTGGCAAGTTCTTCTCACTTTCTTTCTGGTGAATTGATTCCGGAGGACAGGAAGTAATGGTAAGTCCTTCTATTGGAGATACCAGAGAGGGTTCTACCCTTGGAAGTGGCATAGTATATAGGCCCCTAGAACCGGCAAAGTATTATATCCTATTAACAAAATAACTCAAAAAACTAAAAGGGAAAGGTTTAATTGATGGATGGCTTCAGCATGCCGCACATGCTTTCACTATAAAAAGGTGCCCATACACCTTACGATCGTCCGATAATCGTATGCGATTGCGTTTTCGTATAATAATCGCAAGGTTTATGGGCAGTGTACAACCGCAAATACTGTACAATCGTACGACTTTTGACTTTCAAGCATGTTTGAAAACTTTGGTCAATCGTATGATTATTGCAAGGTTAGTGGCGTTTCCGTACGTCAAAAATCGTACGATCTCATGCGCAAACGAAAATACGTGCGTTTGATTACCGCAATTCATCCATGTGCTTTTCTTTAATTAAGGCTAATTGAACCTTGCGATAATCGGGGCATAATGGGGCCGCCGTACGACAATCGTACGACGGTTCGATCATCGGACGAAAAGTCATAGATAGTGGTAAGGTGTATTAGGCTGGGCACATACCTTACAACCATCGCAAGACTTCTGTCTTGCGATGGTTGTAAGGTAATTAAAAGCTTGTACGATCTGCCCATCTTGGACAGGCAGATCGTACTTGCGATCATCGCAAGCGCGCCCCCCTGAGGGGCGGGCTTCCGATGACTGCAAACGGGCAGTGTGCGCACACTGGCCCGTTCGGCAGTTGTCGAACAAGCAGGCCACTTTCAAGCCTACTTGTTCGATGGAAGACGTGCGACCGTACAGTAGAAACGGTCGCACGCCTTCCATACACTTTGCGATCGTACGATCGCGGGATTTCCCACTATTCTCGTACGATAATCGTTCAGTGTATGGGCACCTTTAGAAAGGTAGACACAACCTTTATCAGTGAAAGGTCAAAAAGATACCATGGATTTACAAAATGTAAAACTGGGCACACCTGGATGTAGCAAAGTGTTTAAACAATTACAAATGATAATTCACGCGAGTATCTTCTTTATTTTTACCCCTTGACCAAAATGAACAGTTAACTCTTGCAGTCTAGGGGTAGCCCCACTGCAAGGGCTAATTAAAAAAAAAAAAAATTCTTTAAAGTAACCCTGCCATTGTAAATCAAAGCATACCTGTAAAAGAATACCCAAAATGTGTTAAACTACAACTACATGTTGCAGTACAGGAAGGTGAATGAAATGTCTTTTTTTTTGCATTTCAATAAAATTTAAAAAAAAGAAGAAAATCCTTTGTAATCAGCGTATTGCCCTGTTCCCAGCCACAGTGCCACAGTGTATATGAACCCAGACACTTCAGAGAGTATTCCTTGGTCCCCCCACAGTTTTCCTGCCAACCTCTTCTTCACTTGTCTATCCTGTACTGCATTAAGGTTAACAGGAGAAACCAGTGAGGGCTGTGGGGGACCCAAGGAGCTGGACACTCCCAGAAGTGTCAGTTTCCCTGTAGACTTCACATGAAGAATTTCGCAAGATGGCCCCATTCACACTGAGCGACATGAAAATCGTGTGATTTTGAGCGATATTGCGCGACGAGCGATATTGAGCGACTTGTCGCGCAACTTTTTCCTATTGGGCTGTATGCAATCAGGAGCAATATCGCTCAAAATCAGGGTCATGTAGGAGCGACAAGCTACCACCGACGAGCTACAAGCGACATTGAGCGACGAGATGTGAACAGCTCCATTGAAATGGATTGGAGAAGCTACATAGAGCGATATCGCGTGGAAATATGAGCAATATCGCTGCAAAAAAATCGCTCGATAAATCGCTCAGTGTGAATGGGGCCTAAAGCACAACATAAGAGAAATATGAGGGCTGCAATTACCTATCTCTTGCAAATGCTAGTTCCCTGGCTGGTTCCAATTTTATCACTCTGCACGAAACTGACCACAGATGAAATTAGATGTACTAATCTGCATATTTGTTCTAGGAAATCGAAGTGTTGAGGTCAAAAGGATCTACACTGCTGCCAGGCAAATAGCATTTTCAAAAGCAAAGGCAACCTCAATATCACTTTCTGATTTTCGTTAAAACTGTAAATAAATGGAAGTCAATTTATGTAATATTTTGTTACCAATCAAATATATCTAGGAAGTAAACGTGCACAGATATGATGGATTGATTCAATAGCTAATGAAGAATAGGCATTATCTGTTTCTACAGGAAACAAGGACAGCGAGCTTCTCATCTCTACTACAAATCGCTGTTGTACACTTTCCTAACCACTAGAGGGTAGCAAAATCCAAGATACTAAACATTTTTCAAGCACTCTGTGTGAACCAGTAATTACAACAGGCACATAACCAAGAGGTCATTAGCATCATAGTGCGCATCTTGAAATGGCATCATACCAAACACCAACTTGTTTCTTTTAACAAATAGACGTTAAACAAATGTAAAGTGTAAGCAGATTGAAACAAGCAGATAGATATGGCTGGTAATCCGTGAGAGTTTATTTTTTATTTTTATGCCTATTTAGGACATTTAGTTCGGATTTAAAGCTTCCCATATTTGTCACATATCAGTACAGTCAAAGCTAACTGGATTTAGGCTATTCAGTTGTAGGGTCAAAATGCCATACAAGCATGTAAACTGATCTTGTCAGGTGGATCAAAACGAAATTCCAGCCAAAACTTGTATGTTCTCTCCATCGAGTCTTTAGTTTATTATTGCTGTGCCCCATTGTAGAGATTTCCTTTGGTTCCTGCCCCAGAGAAATAACAGAAAGTGATCACATCTTCACTTATTGAAGGGTAAATGCCACTTAACAGATGCCATCAGAACAGGTGCCCCCCATTGGAACATTCCTTGCCACAATCTGTTGAAGCAACAGCTGGCAAATTTGGATTCCTTCACATTTTCCATTCAGGGACACAAATAAACCTTCTACACTATGGATAGAATGTCATAGCTCCTTTATGACCAGAAGTCACTAAATCCTGGATGCCCAGTCCAAACTATGTATTGGTTAGCTTGACAAGAACGCCATGATAAACGTATCTACCTAAATAATGCTTACATTGCTTTTAAAGGACATCCGATCACGCTGCGTGTGCCATTATTTTCTAATGGCACCCCAGTCACGCGGGGCGGATTGTGCAGAACAGCCGCGAGTTGTGTATCGCAGAAAAAAGGTACATGTACCTTTTTTCTTCGATTGCCGCGCGGATGTTACCCCATTGAAATCAATGGTGTTGCGAGGCAATCGCGGGCTGCATTGTGCAGGACTGTGTGATCCCGAATCACGTAGGTCTGCACGGGGGCCTCAAAATTGTGCGCACCTGCAAAAATCGCAAAAAACTACCACACTCAAAATTGACCATAGGCGACGCTTTAAAAGCTTTTACCGCTCATCAGTTTAGTGTTATTAGGGATTGATGGCCCTAAAATGATTGCTCACGATGCGACGTTTGCAGTGATATGCAACAAGTGCGACACAATGGGCGCAATTGTCGTGTTCACATGTAGGCGCACACGACGCATGTTTGCGAGTGTATGTGGGGGCAGGGGACTTCTACATTTTTTTGTGTGTGTTTTTGTAATTTTTTTTTAAACCCTCGCTGGCTGTTTACATTTAGCGGATTTTCCCACTCATGCACGCGCTAGGCGCTGCACACAAGTTAGGGCGGGGGAAAGACATCTTAAAACGCACTACCCCGCAACTACAAGGCTCCAGTCCTGCCGTTTGGTACGTCCGACGGGAGGTGGTTCACCAACTGCAGCTCTGATTTTCTGACATGAACATTTTTTTTTTCTCCTCTTCACATACAGATATAACTAATCTAACTCAATATATTTAACAGACCAAAAAGGAGCTAATAAGATAAGTTAAAGCAGAACTCCGGGCAGAATGTTTCTTAACCCTTGCAGTGGGACTACCCCCCGCACTGCAAGGATTAAGGGGTTTTTGTTTTTTTTGTGAATGTGATTAACTTTTTTTTTTTTTAAACTCACCTGATTCTCTGAGCTGGCCGACTATTAAACCTGCCACTGGAGCCTCTCTGCCGCTTAGCTGCAGTGGTCTAAAGTCCTGTAAATCATATGCCCAGTGTATAGACATGAGGATGCCGAGGAACATTTCAATGTTGCAGCATAGGAGGAGAGAGGCTTCAGTGACCAGAAAAGCAGGCAGCCAATATAACTTTTTTTTCAGCCCCTAGACAAAAACGAGCAGTTAACGAGTGGTGGGTAGCCCCGCTGCAAGGGGAGGAGACAGTCCTAGTG